ATTTCAGGGCTTGTTTGACACAAGCTGTTGTCAAAGACTTTCAATGGTTGGTCCTTCCTGTCAGCAGGACGTTTTTCACACATTACATCTTACAGCCCCGTCACTGTTGTTCTGTGCACAGTGCATGTGTATAACTACTGTGAAGCTGGAAACTGGAAGGTCTGCCACTAGGATGTGCTCACGTGAACTTTTCTGCAGGTGCTTTAATTCCAGAATTAGGCTCCTGCCATGCCTGACAGAGCCAGGTGCTGGGGAGCTCCTCTAACGGATGCATTTTACACCTGGCCAGCCATATCGATGGAGCCTATTTCAGCACCCTGGGTCAAAAGCAGAGCATGAGGCTGAAAGCAGGAAGACCCATCAGCTCCAGCATAAAGCTCACAGCCCACAATTAGTCAAATTTCCTTTTTGATTTGAGACTAGTGGTTGAATGCTGTTTATGTCAGCCAGACTTCACCATGGAGGTCAGCACAGGAAAACAGGTAAGCAGCTCAAAGAATGGCGTGCCATATTTACAAAGATGGAGCTAGTGTGTGTTGCCTGCATCTTAACACTAGTGTGTAGGTGTTGACCAGTGCACAAAGGGGTCAGTAATGGTGTCTGAACTAAACCCTCAACTGCTAAACAAACTATTGATTCTAAAGCTGTTCTCTCTAAGAAAAAAGTAAGGCTGAGGAATTGTTCACATATATAATTATGGTAACTCCTCCCAGAGGACCTAGAAATACTCTACAGGATTTGTGGAGCAATGCAGCTTCCATGTGATGCAGTCATAGAGCATCACTTCTGTCTGGAGTCCAAATCACAGAGCTTTGAGGTGTCCTGCTCTCACTCACCGAGCATCTCTGCACCAGGTCTGGGAGCTACAGCACTTCACTGCTTCCTACATGTTTGTCTCCAGCACTCTGCTGACCTCCACAAACACCATGCATCAGAGTGAGGAGCTGCCTCTTTCACTGGTCCTCTTTTTTTTTTTTAACCTTTGTTTCAGGCCAGCTGGATCACATTATCGGTGCATTTATTTTTATACATGTCAGCCTGCCACATGTTGCAGTGATGACAGGTAGCAAGAGCTGGACTCAACTCATTCTGAGCTCAGCAGCACAGCATTTAGTTGCACAATCAGGCCAATATAAATATTTACTATTGGCACTTTATTTTGAGCAAGGGCCATGAACTGGCTCTCCCCTCTGTCTGTGCTCAGCCACTCTCAGCAAGGACTCTTGCAAGCCTGCCTGGCACTGGCTCTCTGCGCTCGGCAGCAGTGACAGGTTGCACTGAGCTCCTGCTGTGCTTGGCTTAGGTTACAGCAGGA